TCTAGGGCATATATCTTGGTTGCAGGCTTCCCCCTGGCCCTGGTCCTGGTTGGGGCTTATGCATGAGGCAACCAATTGATGTGTTTCTCTCACATCCATGTTTCTGTCTTTTCCTCTCTCTTCCATTCTTCCTCAAAATCAATGGAAAAATATCCTCGGGTGAGGATGAACAAAAAAAGAGAGACGCCGAAACCGGTTTGGCTCAGTGGATAGAGCGTCGGCCTGCGGACTGAAAGGTCCCAGGTTCGATTCCGGTCAAGGGCATGTACCTGGGTTGCGGGCACATCCCCAGTGGGGAGTGTGCAAGAGGCAGCTGATTGATGTTTCTCTCTCATCGATGTTTCTAATTCTCTATCTCTCTCCCTTCCTCTCTGTAAAAAATCAATAAAATATATTTAAAAAAAAAAAAAAAGAGAGAGAGAGAGAAAGAAAAGAAAAACAGACCTGCAGTTGGTATGTGAATGTGTGTGTGTGTGTGTCCATGTGTTGTTTTGGGATGATCATGTGTCTGCATGTTCGATGAGAGTTTGTGTGTAGCTGAGCTTCCTTTGGTTTTGGGAACTGTGTGTGCATGCTTGTGTTTGTACGTATTGTTTGTGTGTGTTTGCATTTTCTAAGTATGTGCAGAGTGTGAGTTTATGTGTATATATGTGTGTGTCTGTCTGCTGAGTATGTGTGTGTGTTTGCAAAGTGTGTGTAGTCCGTGGAGTACTTGCAGAGTGTGTATATATGAGTATGTGAGGCTGAGCATGTGTTGGTATGTTCAGGTTTGTGTGTTTGCAGAATGTATGTGTATGTGTGTATGTGCCTGTGCTTGTAGAGTGTGCATATATGTGTTTTTGTGAGTGATTACCATAAATCTCTATTTCTTCTCAGGATAGTGCAGAGTTTTTGTCTATTTTACTGACTGTTGTACTTCTAGATCCCAAAACATTAATTTGCACACACTAGGTGCTCAATACAAGTTGAGTAAACGAAGCAATTAGGAGGCACTGTCTTTGGGCCCTTCTGTGGGCATCCATTGGTATCCTGGAGCGTCAGCACCAAGACCTGGTGAACCTAACTTTCCCTGGCCCATTTTGGTGTAGTCCAGGGTGCTTGTAGGTCTATGCCTCCCGCCAGCCATTCCTCTCCCCCTGACCTCAGCCCCCAACCCTGCGCGCAGATTTCAGCACCGCGGACAGGAGCTCCCGACAAATCAGCACCACGGAGAGCGCCCACAACACAAAAATGCGGGCCAACAGAAATGAAACGGATCACTTAGGCAAAGGCGCAGAGATGAGGAGACAAGCGCCCAAGGGGCACCCAGACCTAGCCCTCTCCATCGCCTTATTTGAGAAGCTCGTGTCGCTCCTGTCTAGTGACCACGACCTCCAGAGCGCCCAGGCCAGTGATGGGTCGGACTCTTGGGAAGACCCCAGTTTCCAATTCCTAGACTTGGCGTGGGAAGCTCTGATGCTTTCCACTCTCTGGGAAGCATGGTCAGTGTGGCTTCAACTATGGCAACACTGCGGAGGGGTGGGGGTTGAAAATCGCTCCAGCTGCCCACCTTCCCAAAGACCAGCTAATCATCCCTATAAATACAGCCTGGCTTGGCCTGGCCTGGCTCTTTAATCCTGACAGGGAAGGAGGGGGTCACTAGCGAGGCTGAAGAATCTCTATTTGGGAAAGGGGGGCAGCATGTGGATGTAAATGTTTTTCTGAAGGGACATCTCCCGCGAAGACGGGTCTTCTTGGTGAAAATATCACTTTAAGATCTCTCTCCTTTGGTTATGGGGAGTCTCATGGGTGGGGACAGTTCCCCACCGAGAATATGGCATTTTAAGGGGTCGCTCATTCACCAGGCTCCCCACATGAGCCTGTCTGTCACCCGTGGGAACTTTGCAGAAATGTTTCTTCCTGGGGGAGGGGAGCTTGTGAGAGGAGGACTCGCCTCTCAGTGACCATCTGTCTCGGGAATGATTTTCTGGGAAAGGGGAGAGTTTGATTGGCGAGGGCCTCCCTGCGGAGACGATGTCCCCATGGGAATGTTCCCTGTTGGGTCGCGGGGGCACTCCCATTAGGAAACATATCTGTGAGGCTATCGTTCTAGGTGTTTCTTGGGCTGGGCTCGACCCATGAGCATGTCTCTCCCCTGGGGCGCCTCCTCATAGGGGTCCCTCGGTAGCTCGGCTGTCTCTCCGGTTATCTGGAGGCTCCTCCCCCGCCTCCCCCACCACCCAGCGCAGGGGACCTTGGCCGAGGCCGGGCTCCAGCGCCCAGACGC